TTTGTTCTTTGGGAATTAAAAGAACATGTTTCCCCTATTTTCAGCACACAATCCAGGAGAAATTTCAGGTGAGTCAATAACTTCAGGGAGATGAACAACACTGGAATGAAGGCTGCATCCTTTTGAGCTGTGTGTTCTCTTTCAAATGCTGTTGAAGTCTCAACTTTTTTAGAAAACAAAACAAAATGACACAAAAACAACTGAGCAACTTCGGATGAATTTTGCTGAATTAATGTGTCACTGACAGTTTTTGTAAATAGATCCTGATTCTTTTGTCTGGGAAAAATGTACCTTTTTTTTTTTTTTTTTTTTTGCTTTAACATACATATTTGTATTTCTAAAATACTTTACATTTTTTTGATTTTTTGTGAATTTGAGTTTTCTGGAACATTAACATGGCTGAAAATCTTAAATTGTCATCCAGGTGTAGCACATTATCAACAAACAACTTAGTAAAGTCACATGCAAATGAGTTTTTAGACCCCAAAATCATCCTGGTAAACTAAGGTATAGCATTGTATTCTGTTTTACTTTACTTTTTTAGGTAACTCAGAGAATAAATAAAGCAGGAATAGTAAACAATCCAAATCTCTAAACAAGGGCTGTATCAAGGGGTGGCAACGATCCTAAGGATTGTGTTTGTGTTGCAAAACCCAAGCTTGAGGGAAGCAGCAGAAAGAATCCAAAGGCTACAAAGGAAAAAAAATGAATTAAACAACCATTAGGAAAGAAAAGAGAGTTAAAGATCGCAATACAGCAGAGATGGTATGCTGTGCGGCACAAGCATCAGTAGTTTAGTTTCTGTAAAGCATGTTACAATAGCAACAAAAGCATATCAACTATAAAGTGACAATTCCACAGATTTTGGAGGTACTTAATGAATGAGTAAATAGGTTTCTAATAAAATAACTTCCATCACTCCCTGAAGCAATCATTAGAATCAGCTAGCTTCAGGCAAAACTATACTACTAATTCAGATGAGTAAATGACAATTCATTGGAGGAACTGAGAAAGTCATAGGATGAACAGCAGTGTAGGAAGGCACCAGATAATATCATAGATATTTATCCATAAAACAGATTTCAAAATTCACTAGTAAAATGTTGGTTCAGGCATCTTAAATAATATTTAAGACTGAAAAACCAAAGCTAGAAAAATCTTTAGGATTTTCAGTTTTTTAATATTGAAGGTTAATATTGCACTATGCACTAGCACCCAGGCAGGGTTTCAGTAAGTTTATGAAACATTTTCTTAGTGCCACTAAGTCCAAGGTGGTACAGTACAAAGGCAGGTATGACTTGGGTTTTCTTGAACAAAATTCATTGTCTAGTAGACAGAAATGCTCAAAAACTCTGATACAATGTGATAGTAAAAATGACTATGACAGCAACAGTATATCAATTCAGTTAAAGCAAGAAAAGGAGAGATACCATTTTTCATAAAACTACACTTAAATGATTTTTAAAAACATAACTGAAAAGAAAAACAGGGTAGCAACAGAGCTGCTCAGAACAGCTAAAGCTTCAAGTGTAAAGAGAAAACCAGTATCACTAAAAAGAGACAGCAATTGGGAGATTTACTTTAGGAGACACAGGGAAGGGTAAAGAAAAAACGAAAGGAAAAGAAATGGTCATCATCCAAACCTTGAAGAGTAGCTCTTACTGACTTCCCACATATCATGCGAGGGAGCTTGAATTTGATGGGAGGCAACATGGAATTAAGTCCTAACTCCATTCTTTGGTATGCATGTGAGATTTTAAAACAGGATTATCTTAGCTGTAAGTATTAGAAAAAGAAGTATTAGAAAACTGGCTAAAAGTGGTAAGTGGAGTTTAAATGTAAGCAATAGAAAATATTCTAGTTCTTTTAAACAGAATAGGATTTAATACAAGAAAAAAAATTGTGGGGGAAGGGCTTACTGGGAATCAAACTCACAACCTCACACTTGCCAGGCAGGTGCTTGTGCCACTGAGCTAAATACCCAGCCCTTTAATACAAGAAATTTGATGCTTATGGTATCACAGGAAAACCTGGTGGAGCTGTGTCTAAGCTGGGTTTCCAGTAATTCTTCCAAAATAACGCTGAAGAAGTGACTCACTAGAGGAAATACTAGCCCTGTTACTATGAGAATTGTTGAAATGATCAAGGTTACAATTAATCTGAGAGAAATAAAACTTATCAAGTGAGTTTTAATACTATCACAAAAATAGCAATATCCCCACATTCCTCCAAGAAAACAATCAAGCACAAAAAACCTGTTTTTGGCTCAAATCCCTCTTCCAAATCTCATGAGTGTACCTATGAAGAACAGTCTAATTTGTACCCTAAATACTGATGGAAGGAGGACCAGGAGATACAGCCTCAAGAAAGCACACAAAAAGGAGTTTGAAAAGTTTCTTGAGGACTAAATCACCATATTCACCATGATGGATAATGTACTAAGGGAATTATTAACTTTCACAATAAAATTTCCAAAAGTAGGACAGTTTCAGAATTAGCTAGTTCTGTGGATCTATAGATCAAAAGCTTGTCCTATCTTGATTAAAAATCACTTCACAGTTTCACTCAACATATACACAAATGCCATTTGTGACAGGAAAAAATGAAACTATTTATTCATATTATCTTAACCAGAGAAAATCTTTCCTCAAAAGTTTTAGCAGACTTTCTCTCACTGACACTGGCCAGAACTATATAATTTATTTGTGTCCCAGGAAATCAGTGACATAAGACACAGTATGAACATGACTAGCCTAGAGAGATCATGATGTTGCTGAGTGGCAGGCCAAGACCTTTCCTTGAATGTATCACAGTGCAGGGTGCAATCTGAACACAGGTCAAGACTACATGTTAAGAAGAAAGGGATGGGGAAAGATGTAGCTAGGTAAGCAACAAGATTAGCCAAGGTGCTTATCCCTAATGCTCATTGTCTTATATCATTCAATTCTAAAAGGCAGTTGCTAATATCAGTTGTCTATCAGGATCATATTCCTTTAATAAACATTGCCTATGATAACCATCATCATTTGAGGAAGATCATATAAAATGACCTAAGCGAAACTTCTTTAGGTGATATGAGATACTATTTTTACAAAGGAGAGGGAGAATTCCCCTCAGAAAGTACTGTCCTTTCTGAAGAATACAATTAGAAGGACAAATAATTGTCAAAAGAAAAAAAAATTGCTGTTTCTGAAGCATTTTATATTGTCACCATAGAAAAGAAAGTAAGACTATATCTGATGAAAGACAACAAATAAACCTTGAAGCTCCACAACAGAGTTGTAGTGTGTCTAGACTTTTTTTTAAACACAGATGCTCATGGTAAACTGTGTCACCATGCTGATGAAGGTTCACTGCCCTTACAAAGTCTGTTAACTGCTATCCCAGCTGGTAATACTGTATCGAGAATGTGAAATTTAAGAGACAAGTCATATATATATATACATATATGTATATATGTATATATATATATATATATATATATAAAATTTATTCATGTCCATATATATATATGCATGCACAGGATCTTCTACATAAAATGGGTGGATAATTAGAAATTTTATGGTCCTGGAGCTTTCAAAGGGTCATATGCTCACCTGCTCCCTACAATGTAAAAGTGATAAATATACATTCTTCCTGCCAAGTTCAAGAATTTCTTTATACTCAGTATCATTTTATCTCATACTGTTATGAGAATGGCAAGAATTACTGCCTAATAATACGCTAATATACTTTGGCTTGCCTAAGTTAATTCACAAAACTGAACCGCATTATATTGGAAATACTATTGTAAAACTGTCATAAATTGAAGACAAAAGTTTAAAAGAAATTCTCACTAATACCTTCATTTATTAATAAGATTGTTACATTAGAATCATTTATCCTTCAATGGATGTTACATTTCTCTCATTGCTGAGACAAAATTAACAAACTAACATCAAAGTTAAAGAAGGAAAAGTTTATTTAAGTTTGTAGAGGTTTCAGTCCATAATAAGTTGGAAGGAGCGGTTGATTTAGTTTGTGGAGGTTTCAGTCCAGCAGAGTGGCACATGGCTTAGGGCTGCGCAAAACAGCACAAGCAACAAGAGCAAAAGGAGAAGAGCACAGAAGACTCTTTCTCTTCTTTATAAATTGTATGTAGGCCACACCCACTTGGTGCAGCACTCACATCCATAATCCCAGCATTAGAGCATGAGTAATTCACAAACTCTAGAAGGCTGTCTCCATGACTGCATGTGGCTTTGGGGGTGGGGAGGACATCCAGACTCAAACCATAACAATGAGCCAAAACCACAGTAGCATTATTAATACTATTATATATACAGTGCTATGACAAACTTCAAGAAGGCTGAGAAAAGTTCAAGCCTAGAGAATATTACCATTTTGGACAGCTAAAGAAGCTATAAGAAGGCTGATTTGTTACTCTGTTACAATGTTAAATTGTGCAGCTGGGCCAAGTTGAATTGCATTTCCCCAAATGCCTTTCCCAGTGTGTTTTGGGTTAACATGGGTTATAAGGAGATAATATTGTTGGCAATAAGAAGGGTGGCAGTGAAGCAGCAGCCACTGTATGTTATACACTTGGTAGCTATTGGCTCATTGTTGCTTCACTGCTGGCTTAATCCCCTAGCATGAGGTAACTTCTTAGCATGCATCTGCTCCAACTTGCCAGCTTCTGCTTCTTTCTTTCTTTCTTTCTTTCTTTCTTTCTTTCTTTCTTTCTTTCTTTCTTTCTTTCTTTCTTTTTCTTCTTCTTCTTCTTTTTCTTCTTCTTCTTCTTGATCTTCTTCTTCTTCTTGTTCTTGATCTTCTTCTTCTGCTGCTTCTGCTGCTGCTTCTGCTTCTGCTTCCTCCTCCTCCTCCTCCTCCTCCTCCTCCTCCTCCTCCTCCTCCTCCTCCTCCTCCTCCTCTTCCTCCTTCTGCTGCTGCTGCTTTCGCTTCTCATCCTCCTTCTTTGGCCTCCACCTCTTCTTCTCCTTCTCCCTCCTTCCTCCTCCTCCTTTTTCTTTTGTTTATAAATGGAAAATTATCAGCACTACATTTCTTATTAATGTAAGCATCATGTACCAAAAAGAGAAGGTAACTATACAAATTCAGAATTTGAAATTTTCATTTTATTATCATCATCATCATTTTCATCCTACTAGTTCAATGCATTTTCCTACAACTGACATATCTATTCTGGGATTATGTGAGTCATCCCTAACATACAGCTTTACCAGTGACCTTGAAGCTAAACAAACAAAACTACAAATGACTATATTTTAAAGTGAACACGATAAGCCTTCAGATGATGAATGGGTGAGTTAATCTCCAGAAGACATTTTGTTGATATGCTTTTTCTGATATAGCAGTTTTAAGTCAGAATGGTCAAAAAACTATGCAGAACAAAAATACAATTGAAGAAGCTTTTGGAATTCAAGGCCCTCGCAGTCTTAATCCCAAGCAAAGCAAAGCAAAGTCATATTACTCCAAACTAAATGAGTCTCTAGTATTTCCATGTAGTTGACCTTTCAGAGACAAATGCCTAAGACCAATCATTAATACTCATATATGTTGGCTGTGGTTGCATTAATTATGCCTGAAGAGTTTGAAATCCATCCAAGTCCAAAGATGGAAAAGCACATATACTGGTATGATAATTGTCAAGAGCAGACTATAAAAGCGAAAGATGGCTGTGCCACTGAAGCCCTGTAGAAAGTTTTCTTCCACTGAGGAAGAATACAATGGTCCTGCCAAAGAAATCAATGGAATAAAGACAAACAATGTAGGCTGAGACAAAAACATCCTTATCCTCCACTTATCACTTGTCAACTGGTTTTAAACCAATTAGACTTCCAAGTTGGGTTTGTCTCCAGATCCATGATGGCGGTGCCAGGTTTTCTTGTGGATACTCATATCTTTATGGTTAGAGATACTGAGAATTTCAGCCCATTCTCATGGATTCTAGGTTTTAGTTTTAGAGTTGTTTGTTTGTTTTTTGCCCCTCTTTAATTTTCTATCCCTCCAATCTTCCCATTAGTCTGGCCTATGGAATTTATGTCTCAGCATAAGTTGTAAAAACAAACAAACAAATAAAAACAAGCTTATGGACACTATTACAGACCAATCAATCTGATCCTACAATTATCTAAAATGAATTCTCTATCTCTGTCTCTCTCTCCTCTCTCTCTCTCTCAAGTCAGATGTCATGTAGTCTCATGTGGTGCTGTCACAAATGTCTTGGCTTCTAAAAGAAATTGTCCCATGCTATAGTAAGCATAAAATGAGGCAGAAGAGGTAGAGAGATCAAGTGATTTACCACCTTAAGTAATTTACATTTGTATTATACTTCACAGTTCAGACAGCACTGTTAAATCTCAGGTTCTATATTAATCTCTACTGGACCAGTTAGTTCCACTTTCTTTCAAAGCTTCACATCATCAAAGCAATATCTATTTTATAAATGTCTCCTACATATAAAAAGGATACATATCTAGAACATATTTATTTCAGTTACTGGAAAACAATTCCGATAAAATGGAAGTAAGAATACAACTTGGTTTAAGAAGGGAATTTAAAGACATACTGGTTCATATGGTACTCTAACTCCTGTCTGTAACACCTCTGGAATTGTCATCATCTTCAAAGTAGTAGTTAATAATTTAGAGAATATCCAGTAATTACTCCTTTAGAAATTTTTAAATCACGTTCTCTGAAAATGATGTTCTAAAAACTCCCAAAGTACATGACCAAAATTATCTATGCAAAACAGGTCACAGTGACGAGGTGCAGAGTCTCACAGTTAATTCCAAAGAATGCCTTTGTGGAAGGGCCTTATCAATTTTGGCATTCCATTCCACCTCCACTGTAAAGCTCATTCCTTAAGAATTCTCATCTTTTAAAATGTTGTACTAAGCACTATGCTGTTTCCAGCAATAATAACCACAAAGGTAATGATGCTGTACATTTAATTTTTCCAGCCTTCTTGTGTCTGCTGGCATTATAAATGAGTCATTAACAGTCTCCCAAATAGATTGACACTGTTGCTTGCTACTGCCGAGAAATTCCATTTCTTTCAAGATAGCAAAAAAACAATTTGGATTTAATAACTGAGCAACATTGAAAGCATGAAAAGCTAAAAGAACAGAAAAGTAAATAGGTCCAAATTCCTAGAATATTATGTCATTAAACTCAAGGGCTGAAAGGCATTTTTCACAAGAAGGCTAGTTGGGGAAGACAGTTTCTTTTATATAAACAAACAAATGGCTAAAAAACATCTTGACCTTGCACAATTTCAAGGATCATCTGAAAGTTGTGGGATCACATATCACATATATCAAAGTCAACCACCACCCAATTTACAATAGTGACACATGTGTGGGTTAAATGCGATTCAAGAAACCAAAAACTAAGCCACTAATTCTACACTGAATTTAGAATTTAAATAATATGAGAAAGATCTACATAGGTTAGAAATTTAAGGCAAAAATCTCCCAGTGTATGAGATCCAGAAAAATTTAATAAACTTCATAAGAAAGAAAATTTTTGAGGTCGAGGACCAACAGGACGCAGCTCAGTTTAGCTAAAAGAGAGTCTTTGAAGAAGAGTGGGGCTTACTATCTAGTGTCTAGAAGTCATGCTTGTGGTTTCTATTCAATTATAGTAAATAAACAAGCTTAGGTTTAAAAGATATCAAAAAGATTAGAGCTGCACCTGAAAATTAATATGACAGTACTATTAGAACACAGCAAAGATCAGTTAAGACATTACTGCAATTGTCCACATATAATCAGAATAAGATTAATTACTATGGAAATATTAAAACAATAACAAATTAAGGACCAATTCCTAGATAGTATATATAGGATTTAGAAAATTACTGGTAATAACAAAAGGAAGATGAAATTGATCAATATGGTATTTATGATACAACTGGCTAAAAAACAATTCACAAGATGATAAAATCTTTGGACATGAATGCCAATGGAATTTGCAAGTGAAGATGTCTAGTATACAATTTATATTGAGAGTTGTGGATTTTGGGAAAGAAAGTAGAGTGGTATTATATGAATGTAATGGTAAAGTAAGGAATAAGATCATCAATCTACATTTAAATAGTAGGTTGCTGTTACAGCATTTGTCTGGCATGTATAAGGCCCTGGGTTTGAGTCTAGTAAATAGTTATAATAATTATAATAATGATAATTAAAATGCAGAAGCAGTAGTTAGGAATAGGAAGGGAGAAATGAGTCAAGAGGACAGACAAAATAAGTAGAGAGATGAGAGAAAAATAGAATATATTGTTTTAACTATGAACAATTATTAATATTTAAAGATTAAGCCAAGAAGAGTAAGAATTGGGTAGAAAAATCTGTTGGATTAAAGGTTAGCCAGTTATTACAGTGCTCAAAGCAGTGGCTCCCAACCCAGAATGCACATCACAGTTTTCAGGTTTTAAATAATCAATAGGGATGTTTATCACTGATCAATTAAAAAAGAAGTTATTTGGAGTGGTATCCAAAAAACCATTAGTTCTTAAAAACTACTCAGATTCCAATGTAGCCAATGTTCTACCCTGAAGCAAGAATACTCAAAAGAAAGATTACAGCCTGTGGATGGTATAGTAAAGAAAAGCTGAACAGTCTACTCTCTGGATAAATTTGATATGGCAATGAAGGCAATATCCAAAGAGGATCTCAGGCTAGAGGAATTTTTTTAGGAGAAGGGAAGAATGAGCATAAAATAAACACAGAAAATAAATATGGGAAAAGAGGGTTCCTTTGGATAGGTGGGTGATAATGGAGTAAAAGATAATTGAGAAACTTGATATGGCAGAAGTGATTCATCCCTTAGCACCAACAAAAATAACAAGAGAAGAAAAGGAGAGTAGAGCAGAATTGGGACATGCAAAGTGAAGCCTCCTCAGATGGTTTCAACTGGTGAATGCATAAACTATAAAAATCGGGAAGGATTACAGTGTGTCAAAAGAAAAAGAAACCAAGATCTTCTTTAACTTAAGTTAGTAAAAAACCTTCTAACTTATCAGATTTCTTTATAGAACATTATCAGAAAGATGACTGGAATAAATGGAGAGGACTCAAATAATACAGCTCAAAGTCAGACACCAACTAATTTATTTATTAGAACTATTTGAACTGAAGTTCCAACTAACATGCACATTAAGTCTGAAGGAAGTTAAGGATGTGATCAAAGTTCTGAGGTAGGAAAAAGTTCTGAGGCTTTAAAGCAATGGATTAACACCAAACTATACTTTAACCCGTACTGACAATAAAATGTGAGAAGAGGTTCTTGAAATCCTTAACATTTCAAAAGTTTGCAGGAAAATTAGAATGTCAAAGAATCTTGTGGGTTTCTGGAAGACATACAAAAATGAAAAGAAACTGGGAAAAAATTCTATATATAGGTTTTCTAATAATTTAGTATAACAAAAAAATCAGAGATCATCTAAAGTTTCAACTTCATAACCATGTTTTTAAAAAGTGAAGAATTATCATGAGAAAAGTGAACTTCAACAATTCCATTTATATTCTGCCAGGTCCTGTTTAAATAAAATGGAAAACCAATTTATGACCCATCACCATCTCCCTACTTAATGTGATAATGACTGCACTAGCCTAAAAGGTTTAATTTAAAATTTCTTCTAGTACTTGGGATGTTCTCATCAATAATTCGAGTTTTTAAGTGTTACCAACTCTCACTCTCAGCTGCAACGGAAGTTGTCACACTGATACAATGAAGCTCTCTTGTGGATAACAAACAACTTACCTGTACAAATTTGATCTGCCGAAGGCACTATTGTCTACTACTTGGTAAATGGTTTGTATAGAAATCCATATATTGAGTTGGGCAGAAGTGAAATAAAGTCTAAGCAGAGACAGAATGTCAATTACGGAGTTGGTAAAACAGCCCTGTTGAAAAGTTGTTAAGTTCAGCAGTTTTTGATTCTAAGAATTTGATTTAACTAAGATGAAAATACACGGATACATAAACAACGTATTTAAAGTAATTTTTTAAAAATACATACATTTTTAAGTGATAGTTCTGATCTTCAGAATATCTGCACATAATTAACTGTTTGGTTTCTTATGATATGCCTTTGATGTAGGAAAAACAAGCCTTTGCAACACTCCTACTAAAGCTGACACGACTAAGGCTCTGAGAGTCTAAGAAGCTTGCTAGAAGCAGCTAGCTAGGGATCTAATCAGAGATCTTATGCCAAATTTCATGCTAGTCTAAGAACCAATATTTTGAATGACTAGATTTACTACTTGTATCTCATTATCTTTTTTATTGCTATATGCAAGTTACATAGTCTATGATTCAATATATTTTTATATCACATATTTTTATTATCATCCCAGACATAATATATATAGTCTTCAATTAGTACATATTACTTTTGAAGACCCAAGGATACTTGACATTCTTTATGTTCTACATGAAAAAAATTTTTTTTAAAAAGGCCATAGAAAGGAAGACAGAAGTTATTATTTAGCAGATAAGAGGTCCAATTTTGGAAAATGAAAGAATTCTGGAAATAGAGGATGATAATGATGTTGTTTAGTAACGTTAAAGTATTTAATGTCACTAAATAGTATATGTAAATTTTCCAAATACTAAGTTTGATGTTATGTACATTTTATTACAACATTAAAAAGCAGTAAAAATGTTTAAATCACATCAAGCTTTGATCCAATATATTATACAAATTTTAAATTACTACACAGTGAAATACTTTTGATGATCTATGTTAAACATGTAATACTTCTAATTGAATGTCAACCATATTTAAAGTAAAATCTGGAGGAAAAATAACCTAAATAGCATTTTACATTTGAACAAACAGACTCACTTTGCATTGATTATAAAGACATTTAAGAGTTTTAAGTAAGTTTTGTGAAGTCAAATGACAATAGAGCAAAGTAAGATATGTTTTCTATGACTCTTGTATCATATAAATAAAGCTCACCATTTGATGCTTACTTATTCCTAATTTGTATAAAATATGAGAAAAAAATAGAACTCATAATTCTAAAGAGTTTTATTATCAATTCTTATATTTTTGGCCTTTTTTTCAAAAAAGCTTTAGATTATAAGCTTCTTGAGGACAAGACTTGTCTTTTTCTTCAATGTATGCTCCGTAAATAAGAGAGAAAGAAAACAGGGAAAAAGGGAGAAGTGGAAGATTAATGATTTTTATAAACATATCCAAACAGTCATAAGCAAAATTTGGAATCTCTCAAATTTGAAACATCTGTTGACTCACCACATTGAGCTTTACAACAAAAAATCACTTTTATACAGTCCTGTTCAGTAAATATTTCAGCCTTTTATCAATCTATCATCTGCTTGAAAGGAATAAGGGCAAGTCAAACATTTCAGCAAAGGATCACTAAAGATGATTCCAATACTTGGAGACCCTGCTTGCCTGCTCCTATACTTTCCCCCACCAGGTCCCTGTGCATATAGAGAATATGACTTCCAATTTAAGCAACAAGATTCTCATGCTGTCATTATCAATTATTACCTTCTTTACAGTAATCTCATTTGCACTATATAAAGCAAAAAGGTCACTAAGAAGCTGCTTTTGCTGCTCTAGGAATTAGAGGATATTTTTGTATTGTTTATTGTTAAAATATTCTTTGATTTTTAGTTGTTAGAAATGGTACCAATATCAGAACAATACAAAATTAAAGCCATTCTAATATTTATTCAAATATCTATATCTTTATTTCCTCACTTAAATCTAACAAAGTATAATCACAGTAGCCAATGATTATTCATCTGAATGCTGTAACATTTAATTTCTAAAGGTCAATTACTTTATATCTTGCTTTGGGAAGTTTCCAGATTAAGATTTAATTAATCTTATTCCTCTGACCAACAGACCAGGCTATTTTGAACTAGCAAAGGAAATGGTCTTAGTCTTCTGTATTAGGAAACAACGTACCTCCTGACTAAATGGAAAAATATAGAAAAGAAGAATTAAAGATGTCAACTGCAACCATTTACATTCTTTTAAAAATATTACCATTAAACTATAAGTACAAAGATTAGAAAGGGAAGGCTCATTAAATAAGATGCTGGGCAAAAATCTGTAATTAAAAATATAAAGGAAGTCTGAAAATTTCACTAACCCTCAAGGAGCCAAGTAAATCTTCATAAGCAAGCACACCCCCCTTTTAGCTAGGCCAAATAATAGCATTTCAATCATGGAACATACAATGGGTCTTTTCTTTGCTTCCTATTTTATAAGGAATTGACAGTCCCACCTCCTCTGGCTTAACAAGCATTTACCTGGCTGTACTTTGTACATATGTCTCCTTTCCTTCAGTTCCTCAAATTAGCAAGATTTGTACATTAGGCCAGTATGATGAGTCCAAACCCACTGATTAGTGACAATTAATGCAATAATACTGCTTTAACAATTGTACAATACAGTAGTCATTTACTATCTTCCTAAAAATGTAAAAAGTTCTATAAAAAGGTATAAATACAAATTTACTTAACAGATAATAGACAAGGCAGTTGTCACTCATTCCCATTTCTTTTATAGCCTGTCTCAACTGTTTAGTCGGAATTAAGTTTTTTCCATTTGTTAGTTTCAGCTTTTCTTGAAAACTAATTTTAAGAATAAATAGAAAATTTATCAATCACCAATATATCTGAGAACCAAATACAGTACATAGAGTAGCACAATCCTCCTGTCATTTATATTTTTGAAAGATTGGTTTGTCAAAGACAGGTCAGACTATTTGCATTATAATCCAAATGCTACAACTGGAGCATTCAAGTGAGACTGAGAGGAGACAGTGTTTTATACTAAAGTAACTTTTCTAATGACAACTTCATTGAAAGATGAAATGAGTTTTTCAAAGAATACAGTTTTGTTTAATTAGTGATTTAAAAATTTGGATGCACAAAATTCAGAGTAATAGATGAATACAAGAAAAAGTTCTTGTGTTGGAGGTTGGCTGGACTAGAAGACCTTAAAAGTCTTAGTATAATGACTTGTACATAAATGGAATTAATTTATTTAATAAAGAAATATGATAATATTTCAAAAGCAATTTACAGGAGAATTTTATATTGTTATAATGGAATATAAGTTCCAAGGAGCTAGAAGGAAATGAAGTAAGTTTACACTAAACATCAGCAAGCATGGTTTTTCTTAGGAGAAAATATCTCAGATAGATAAATAGGCAGACAGACAGAGACAGATAGGAAGTACAGAGAAGTTTAACATGCCAAATGATCTATTCTATTGTTTCAAAATTATTTTAAGATAAATGCTAATTCATTTCATTTATGGTACTAGTTTATTTAGTTCACTGAAAACAAGTTTTGTCTTTGTTTCCTTTTGTAAAGGAAGATATCTTTTGTTTATGATTTGAACTCTGAGTAGTACTTTGGCTATTCTTTTCTTTTTTGTGGGGGGTACTGGGGATCAAACATACGACTGTGTGCACTTGCAAGGCAGGCACTTATGCCGCTGAGCTTATTCCCCAGCCCCTTGGCTATTCTTTTAAAATCATAATATACAACATATTAACCATTATTATTCACTAATAAAAAACCATCTTTCTAAAAGAAAGGATAAATTCCAAACAAATACAACCAGTTTCCAAATGACAGACAGAAAATCCAACTTAAATGTAATAATTGATTCAATATGTTCAAAAAAGTTTGAGACAGTCTGTAACTCTCAATGTTGTCTAGAGCTCTGGTACAAAAAGCTGTCTGCAGTAAACACTCTGTGACATGGGAAGTCTCAATAAAAATTTTCCTAGTACCTCTGTCACAGAAATAAGCCTTTCAAGAAAACTTCCCAGCAGTTACTTTCAGGAAAGAACTATGCTTCTTGCTGTCTAAGGTTCATGAAACCATTAACCAGACGTTTAGTTCCTCATATAACTTTTCTTTTCTCTACCTGACGCACTGCCATAAATTTTTCACATAATGTTTTAAGGTCTAGTGAAAAAGTTATAAATATTGACTTTGACTGAATCTTCTTCTCACTCAATGATACTCTCTTGATCCACAATAAAAGTGCCATTGAGGGCAAAGAAAGACTCAGATGTTCATGCACTGCTATCAAGTGAATAACCTATCAAGAGATTTAGAAGAACTTTAATAACGAACATAAAAAGAAGCAGATAAATCCAACTCTAATTAATGAGTGGCATAAAGTTTTAAGCATAAACCTTTAATGTAAAAAAGAAAAATATGTGTACAGGATGGTGGCAAATACTATAAGAGATACAAAGCATGGATGCCATAAAAATCTTTGTTTTACTTGTACAGACTTTGTTATTGACAGTGAAAAACTTTAGCATTAAGCTGATGGAGTAAATATAACAAATGAATAAAATTAGTATGACAATATCATTAAATTTCCAGAAAACTTTTTATATTAATTTCTAGGTGAAGAAATGATGAAATGATGTCTACAAGAATTTAAGTTACGGGGCTGGGGATTTAGCTCAGCGGCATAAGCACCTGCCTTGCAAGTGTGTGGTCGTGAGTTTGATCCCTAGTACCGATAAAAAAGAAAAAGACAAAAAAAAAAAAAAAAGAATTTAAGTTACTTAGCAAAGGGACAGGCTAGTAAGCAGAAGAACTGTATTAAAAATAGGTCTGTCCCCCAGTCCCATAATATTTCCACTATTGTGTCATACACTTGTTCCTATGCTGTGTAAAATAGCATGAGAATTAAAATAAAAAACTAAAATCTAAATGGAGGTGAAATGCATAACAGTAGAGCTAAAACCAGCATTTAATGGGTTAGATGAGACAAAAAGAAGAGGAAAATACTCTTGGAGGGAGTTTTGGTCCTCAAGAGATAGCTGATGTTTCAAAAGACAGAAATTTATACTCATAGAAAAAGAGAAAACAGAAACGCATAATTTCAGGGCTGACTGAAACCTATGAAGACGTACTATACTGTGGCTCAAGACCATATTAAAATATAAAATTTCTAGTCAAGGAGTTGGTAATGGGAATACATTAAAGGCTTCTGAATAGGACCAATTGTATATTACGGTTTAACAAAAATCAATGAAGAGCAGTATGTATCCAACAATACTTTGACTCAACACATTAAGGTGCACTTACCACATCCCAGGCAACATCTGGCAAGTATTGATGATACGCTCTCCTTTGGCTGCTAAATTTCATTTATTAGTGTCTTTGACTCTTTTTTATGGCTGTCTTTACTGCATTATTCTTAGCTGATTTACTTCAGACTAGAGTTTGTCACAGATCAGTCCTCTTTATCAAACCTTTACCCTAGAAAATCCAATTCATTCCCTGATTTTAATACCACTATTTTTGATAACTATCAAATCTATGTCTACAGTTCATATGACCGTCCTGAACTTCAGTTTCCTTTTGGATACAATAACAGCCATCTTCCAAATATGTTCTCTCACAGTCTTTCCAAACTTAGCAAATAGCAACTCCATTTAGTAATATGAAGACCAAATATCTTCAAGTTATTCCATCTTTTTCTAACTGTACATTTATTCTACCAATAAGTTCTGTCAATTCTATCTTGGAGGAAAAGTTTGGTCTTCATATTATATCATCCACAGGGGTTAGAAAAATAGCTAATGGGCCAATAAATAAAAATTCTATGGAAACACCACCATGCTAGCTCAGTTACACATTGTCAAAGGCACGCCTCAGAGATCATATGATGTGAAAAATTGAGAACATTTACTAATTAATTCTCTATCCCAAATTTTTTTTGATAAATTTTGTACTACATTACAATAGCTTTTTGTCTTCTCATTCCCTCCCTACATCCTATGACCTACAAATCAACCAGAGGTTATAAAACTGTACTGTCCAGCATGGTAGCCACTAGCTACATGTTGCTATTTAAATAAAAATTATACTAAATTTAAAAGTTTAGTTTCTTAGGTACATTTGCCATACTTCAAGAGCTCAATAACCACTAAACACTGCAGATGATACAATAGTTTCATTATCGTAGAAAGTTCTGTCACTCAGCATTGTCTTCAAGCCTAAGTCAGATCATTTTTCCTATATTTTTCTAACCTTCCAACAGCTTCTCTTTTTTTTTTATCATCAAAGTTTTCTAAAGCCTCTATCAACCCAGTTCCCCACTATTTCTCAGGTCTCATATATCTGCACTGTTTTCCATTCACTGTGTTCAATCATACGGATCCCCTTACAGTGCCTCAAAATGGCAAGCACATTCTTATTTTAGGCACAATGTACTTGCTTCTCTTTCTAGAGTATCTATCTCCAAAAAGCTGCTTGAATCATTCCATTTCCTCGGGTCTCTCTTCAAACATCATCTTCAGAGCTCTCTTAATCCATCTCTTTATAGCTCCCTTAACACTAACATTATCTTAGTGTTATTCACTAACTGTCCTGTTATCTATATTTTGTGACTCATTAATAAATAAAAGATATGGCATGAATAATATAGTGTTTTCTCCTAGAGTATAAGTTCCAAAAAAGAAATTTTGTCTAACTCATTGGCTGATATATCTCCAGATCCTTCAATAAGACCATGGTCAAAAGCTACTCTATAAATATTTGTTGAATGAGTCAATGAATACATAGGTAAATGGGAACAAACTGAAAAACAGGACCAACAGCATTAAGAAATAGGAGGCTCTGCTTTGCATAATTGACTTATCTTCCAGATAGAGGCTTAAAATTTTATATTAATACTTCCAATAAGGCTTGGTTTAACTGAGATCTCTTTTAGGTTGACTTTTAAATAAAAAGCAAAAGAAGGATTTTCAGTGGCATCTCTGTCTTAAGTTACTTTTTCTCATTATTGAGACAAAATACCTGACATCAAAAGTTAAATGAGTAAAGGTTTATTTGGGTTATAGTATGTAGAGCTTTCAGTTCATAGTCAACTGGCTCCAAGGCAGAGCAGGATAGGAAAGGCGCATCACAGAAGAGAAGTCCATAGCAAAGCAGGAAGCAGCAATTAAAAAAAGCAAAGGACAAGCCATAGTAATAGCAGTCCTTTTTTTCTCTTATATTCTTATCCAGGCTATCCACCTTTACGGTAGATAGTATTCAAAATCATAGCATTGCATACTGAATCAATTGCAGCATCACATGCTTAATCCAGCCACCTTCAAACAAAATCCTGACCTAAGATCACATGAGGCTTTGGGAGGGTATTCAGACTTAAGTTGGCACAGTCTCTCTGAACAATCTCTCTGCTTCAAGATGTTCAACAAAAAAAAGTGTAAGGTCTGAAATATCAGTCTGGGAAAATAAGATTTAACTAAGCTCTCACACTACATTCACTAGCCCAAAGATAACACCATTGCTGAAATCTATTCCTGGGTTTAATTATTCATCAATAATTAATAGTCTTTAATCATTAAACTTTTAATAATTATTACACACTGAATTATTATATCCTTATTATTAATGATATTTTGGACTCAAAAATAATTTACACTGGCAAAACTAGCAATTACATATAAGATGTTTTGTTCACACAACTCAAGGATTAACTTTTAATTTTGTATTATTATGGAAAGAAATTCTACTTATTCAGTGAATTGAGATAATATTCTCCCATCAAATATAATAGTTATTGTCATACCTTTGCTCCCTGTTCAACAAGAAGATATCATTTCTCTTGTTTTAAATAGTATTCTATTTCTCTAACTTAAACAATTTTACCTGAGACTGACTGAAGGGAACAGCATACAAAGGTAGAAGGGTGAGTGCAATTGTCTAAGGAGGTCTAGGAGAGATTGCCATAAGGCCAGTTAGTGCCAGCTGCAGAACAGCAGGCTTTGACATAGACCAGCTAACCTCTTTTCTGGCCTTCATAACACTTTACTTTTGCTAAGAACCCCAAAGCAACTATTTAATGAGCAACAGAAAAATAGCACAAATACATTCAGTGATCTGACAGTTTTCATCTGGCAAATTTCTAACATATGAATTTCAAAGCAGTTAAATAATTTAAGATTACTAATGTAAATGGAGAAGTAATATTTAACTTATAAATAATACTCATAAAAAGGAATTTTTATTCTCTGAAGCATATGAATAAAAGCAAATCTGCAAGATAATCACTGACCTAGGCAAAGGTTAAGAACAGTTTAAATAATAAATGCAGAAGTATAATTCAGACTGACACAAATTTATTTTTCTCACTCCTGCATCTGTATGGCAATAATCCAATCTGAGAAGTTGAATCTAGGCAGTAAGAGCATAACTCAAAGCATGCTTATTTAAAAACAATGCAACAACTTAGGGCAGTTTGGAGTGGTGATATTATATATCACTTTGCATGTTGAATGGTGATGAAATTTTACATTGATTGTCACAGAAAATGCTTGAATGAACACTAGTAAAAATTAATAGGTTATTTTTCTCCTTCATAATGATCTTTAAAATGGTCAGATTTGAGGCTGAAGTGTCTAATACAGTGATGGCGAATTTTTTAGAGCTTTCATTGACAACAAGCAGCCCACTTTGGCATGCATGACACAGGTTCACCACCACTGACCTAACAATTACCACATCTGCACACTGCACCAGTGCCATTATCCCAAAGTCCTGAGATTTCAGTATTGCTTTCCTGACAGACTGCCAATAGACATGTGACTGCCTGAAGCTGAACTTAATAATAGCCATTCCCCTTTTTTCTGTTAGAAGTGTGTCCTGCTTCTCTAACATTCCACCATCTTCAGAATCTTGATTTTTTCTTTAAGAAGAAAACAATGGACTATTTTTTCTACTTAAAGATCTTTCAACTTCCCCCTGATGTCACAAAGGTGACAAGAATTTAATTCATGCAGGTAAAGTAGCTGAAAATCTGTGACCAGAGAAACTAATTTACTATAGTTTTATGTCTTCAGTTCTCAAAATCAAAGTTCATTATCAATAGATTTCCAATATTTTGTAAAGGAAGAAGGTTTTAAGCCATTTAAGTCCCAAATGAGACAAGATGTAAGAAATTATAAAGAATCACTTTATATTATTAGTTCTGACCTCCCCTTTTTGTGCCAGAACTTATATGCAGTTGCAAAGTGTATTAGATGCAGAACTTCATCTATGTGCCTTATTGCAAAATTGCTGTGTTCAAACTCAAATCTGTTGAGACCTGTTAAGAGTCTGATATTCTTACCCTATCTTTAAGCTAGAAAGCTAACCTATCACAGATACACAAATGCAAGCAGAATTAAAAATAAAACAAAACAGAAACTCCTAAGTGAGGAAAAAAAGGTATTTTATTATCTTTTATAGTAGTAGCATCCAAGATATCATCGTTACCTTGTACCTGTTCCATGAGGCCCAGTTTCCACACAGCTACAGGATACGTGGCAGGTTGGGTACATACTGGGTTGTATTAAAGCACAGGAAAGGGAAAGCCCAATTTTTATAATGGGCTTCAAAAGCAAACCTGGCCAACTGTTGTTCTGTAAGGATACATTAGGACAGCAGACAATACACTCTCTCTTTCTTCTAAGGCTAATCATCACACAACAATCTGGAGTACCACAACAAAATGGTACTCACAAGACATGAAGACAGCCATAGAAATTAACAAGAAATTCTTTACCCTTTAAACATGTACAGTTGTTTCACATAAAAGGGTGCCTTACTTAGAGGTCAAGAAAATCCTTGATATATCTGCTTCACTACAAATGTTTAAAAACCTACTCCATCTTAAACCAAGCAATTATTTCTTCATTTTTCTTCCACTAAATCATATATAATGACCTGTGTCAAATGTGATAAGATCTGGCCTCTGACAAAGTAACAATATGAGGAATAGCAATGAGATTCTTGACAGCCAAACGTACCATTTTTTTCCTACTATTCCACATTGCCTATGCACTAAAAGAGATTCTCTACCTTATTAATGTTTCCAATTATCAGTTTTGATTCCAGGTTCTTTCCCTAAGGATGTTATATGAACTCTAAATAGGTAACACTCAAAAAGAATGTCTGATAAGATTTCAAGGTATTTTTCTTTATAATAAGCCCCTATGAGTATGGAAAATAGTAAACTGCAAGGTTCTGCCTTTGCTGATAAATGCATGAAATACAGATATTTTCCTTAATCTTAAAGAAAATAAAGCTCATATTTTCCCATCTTCATTGCAGACTTAGGCCAATTCATTAATTCAGTGATAGAAAGAACGAGTTCTCCAAGGTTTAGAGTCTTTATTTTCTGTTAACTGGATAAAAATAGTAAATCCAAGAGTAAGTACACTAGAAAGCCAAATAACTAAAGCCAAACTACCAGGTTAATATAATTTATC